GTGTAAAAGCCATCTTTCTAATATAACAATTCTTGTGTTTATTTTTTTATCCAGTCAGCAGCTACTTCTTAAGGTCTCCCAAAAACACCTTATAATTCATACAGATAGAACAATGTTGTTTTCTCTGGGATGTTTCCTGCCAATTCAGTTATAACTGAAGACTGAATTCGGAAGCACCACTTGTGGCATGCATTTATCTGGAGTGGAAATCTGTTTAGGACACTGATAACTCTCAACTACACTTTATAGGGATTATGAACTAACTTAACTATGACTTATAGCTATTTCCTTCCTAAACATAATACTAAATTGTTACTATGACTGCTGCAAACTCCAGAATACAACAGGAGGCATAGAATCACTACTGCATCCTTGATATGCTTTCATCATTTTTTGCACTGCCAAAAGGTGTTTTGGCTCTGTGTAGTTCTCTTCCATGAAAATTCACAGATACTTGTGTTTTGAGCAGGGATGGATAATCACCAAATGTTTTAACTCAGGRTAGCATTAGCACTGCAAAATCAACAAGGCTGTCTTCAAAGGTGTCCACTCACCTCAGACATCAGAGAAGATAATTCAAGAAGCAGTAGTTCCTATGGGATCTCACCCCTTTGGGGCACTTCTGAGCCTGTCTCCTTGTGTAACCTGTCCATTCTTTCCCAGGTGATACCTCCTGGTAGCAGCATTTCACCTGGGGATCCTTCTAAATGTTACAGTGGAAATTCAATAGCTTTAAACTGCGACTCAAAGCAACGACCACCAAGGGCAGTTTTGTCTGGTTTAGTGGARCTGGCTTGTAAAATCACAGCCATTTCCTAAAGAGCTGCTAAAGCCACAGACAGTAAATTCTGATCAGCATTGCAGTGCCTTCCTCAGCGAGTGCCGTGCCTGCCATGGAAAATGGCACTGCTGCCTCCTCCCCTTGTAAAGACATCAAACCCTGTGTGAACCTGTGCTTGGGGAAGGAGAGGAACTGCCTTGCTGGGTCCCTGTCCCTGACCTGCAGTCATGTCTTCTGGCCCCACATTTGAAAACAGTGGGCAGCTCTTGGGCAGCAGTACTCCTGGACAATGTGGTTCGAAGTTCCTGTGAGACACTGGAGACAAAAAATTGCTGAAGTTGCCTGTTTGCTTGCTGGTCACAAGCAACAACAATACATTCCTGGGTGTTTATTCAGCTTCCACTGAACTCCCARCTGTGGCATTAACTTGAGTGAGATTAGAATTTAGCATCATTTTATAAATGTCGTATTTCAATTCCCTCCTCCTTCTCCTCTTCGCCACAACATGGATCAAATCAYAGTACCGATAAACTGCAATTAAAAATGCAGCTGGAGTACAAATTCAGAGGCACTTGACTTTAGGAAATACAAAATTTTCTCTGAAATAAYTTCAGAAGTATAGAACAGATTAAAATTATTATCAGTTTTTTTCATATGCTCTTGTTCAGGCAGGTTAGGAATGTCATCGTGAAGTTTTCCACAGCAACTCATAGCACTAGATTTGAGAGCAGACTTGCTTTTTTAAGTTGATAGATATTTGTCTTTTAATTTTTACCCTCTGATGTGTGTTAGCAGCCAATAAATGAAATAGAAATATTTCCAATTAATTTTCATTTTAATCTACTTATCTCCTACTTATCTCTTTACTACTGTGAAGTAAGTTCAGATCAAATACRGTGCAGAGGTGCAGCAACATAATAAAGCATTGCCAAGCATAACAAGCTGCCTTTCAAGGTACATTTTTCTTTAGTGACTTTTCTGCAGCCAAGGATAAAATTAAAAGAATGGGAGAAAGACAGAGAGGGGGAATTAGCACATTTGACTCAAATATAAGCAACCCACAAAATATGTTGCTAATCAGGCAGATTCTCATCATCCTACTTATCATCTTAGGCCAGACTGCATGTGGTTTCTCCCCAGATGTGCAGGATATAGAGGAAAACATTCTCAGACTACACACAACACTAAGTCTTTGAGGACACAYCAGTGGGACCTACGAACCACCCTGGCAAAGGCTGCAACTCTCAGMGTGCTGCAACTCACACGGCACACAATTAAATACTCACCAATACTGGATGTTATAGAGACCAAATTGGATTCAGGGAAGGATTAGGCAATTTGGAGATGATAGATCTGTTACTGAGTATTTATTACTCATAATGGCCAAGATAAATCAGTTTCAGAAACTCCCTCAACTGTTGACGCAATCTGAAAAGAAACACCAGGAAGGAAGCACAGGTTATACGATCTGGTTTTAATTTTTTCCCAAAGTACCATGCAACAGCAGCAAGAGGACCTGGGGCCAGAGGGGCTGTTGGTCAGACATATCTGTTTGTCTAAGTAGAAGAAATCATTAGTCTTTTGTTTGTTTGTTTATTGTCTCCCTTTACTCACTGCCATTTCAGATTGCACTCCCTTCTTGCTCTGGTGTGGAAAAGATTTTGCTATCAGTAAGGGSTTATCAGTTCTTTATCAGTTAGCTATCAAAGGTTATCATACATGGGCCAGAACCTTTGAYGAAGGCAAGAGAGTTTTACCAGCAGAGCATCTGAAATGATGGTGATATATGTGGGTTGGACTTAATTTGTTTTTTTATTTATTTTTAGATGCAGATGCCAGTGACTTTCCTTTTAAACTTCCTACGTACTTTTCCTCCCTAATATAAAGAAACAAAGTGACTRGACAGCACTCATTTTAAATTCTCAACATTGAAAGGACTGAAAGCTTTTGCAGAAGCTCTTAAAAGTTTATGTTGTTCCTCATTATAACTGCTAATGCTACATGATTGGCCTGTTAATACAGCTAACTCACCAGCAGCATTCACATTAATTTTCACCTTTTACTGTGTAACGGTAGTGCTATTTATTAGCCAGACAGACCATTTTTAGTAATGTTATAGGAACAGAGTGTGCATTACACAACAGAGCAAGGTTACACCTGCAGCTGACCATTTCTATATTTATGACTGTCTGACATCTGTAATAATTGGCAAATGGAAAATACTTGTTTTTTACTTTGGCTTAGTAATTTTTTTTCATGTTTTAAAAATAAAAGTGAAGTGAAATACCTGACATTAATTAGGGATTTTAATTATCTTCAAGTCTCTTGCCAAGGTGCCCTGGAAAAACAGAACAGATCCTTAGGGCAATGCACAGGAAAGAAATCGTTAGCCAGCCTCAGCCATCCCTGGAAAACTTGACTGGAAAAGCACAGCTTGCATTACAGTTCAATTTGTAATCACACCCAGCCTCTTTCACTTCAAGTCTCAAGCAGTAAGGCCCCTCATTGTRTGGGTATAACTTTAAAAAAGGAAATTTAGCATGTATTCCAAAGAGAAGATCAAACGTTTTGCAAACTTTATGACAAACTGGCGGGCTTGAATGAAGTTCCTGATGTAATGTTTCATCTCAGAGTTGTCATCTAATTATGATTGTTAGCATGCAGAATCTCTCTTTTCTCCTCTCCCCCTCAATCATGCAACAGTTTTAGTTATGTTAAAAAAAATCCTTTGCAAACCAAATAAAGTTCAGGCTGAAACTCTCTATAGTACCAAATTYTTGTCACTTAGAGATTTCAGAATCTCCATTTAATTGTAGCASTATTTATGCAGCTGGTCTCCAAAAGGCTTGACTTAAGAGATCCAGGAATTTTAATAGGATTTTAAAGATTTTTTAAAGAATAGGATTTTTAAAGAATTTWAAAAAAAATCTTTTAAAAGAATTCAAAAGAATGAAAGGAAATTTAAAACAATTTTTTAAAAATAGGATTTAAAAATCAGATCCAATTGCCTGCAGCGCACTCGAAGATAAAGGAAATACACATTGAGATATGCTTTTTTGGAGAGTGCAATGRTCAGAGCCAAAATAGCCAATTGTCACAAAGCTGGAAACATGGACATTAAGCAGTCTGAGAACAATGCACAATGACCATGGTCTCATTCTGTCTTGGAATCAGATGTTTTTGTTTTATCTTAAGGAATCCTTGATCAGGTACAAACAAAATGATTCTCAGATTTTAGGGAAAAATCATATAATGATTCAATTTGCATGAAATTTTTGTATTTAGACAGGGACTTTGTATCAAAACTTGGCTTGTAGGGTCTCCTCTGGTCCACAGAAGGGTGAAATCCCCCTGTGAAAAGTACCAGAGTGAACTCAGCTTTCATGAGGAGAAATACAAAGGCTTTCTCATAAAGAAATCTGCTCTTTCTGAGGCACTGCCTTTGGTCAACTGCAGGTAAAAGCATTTCAGAAGGAGATATCTCCACTGTGCAGAAGAGAACCCAAAACTCTTGAATTAAATGGAATTTCACACCAGCTCTCCAGCATCAGCTTTGAAAACAAATGCCTATGTTCAGTTTCACTATTTGAAATTACCAAGATTTATTCTTCCTAGAGGCAAAACTAGGGGATTTCCCATTCCCTCATACTTCTGTTTTTCAGTAAAGAGCTTTGTAACCTACTGACAGGGCATATATCACTCTCTGTACAGATGCTGATACTACAGAGTTGGTAGGTGAATGCAGCCATCAGAGTCTTTCAATCACAGAGATTTGGAAATATGTGAAATTAAATAGAACAGAATGAAATCAACAAATCCAGATTAATTGCTCCTCAAAGTCAGTAAATTTTGCTCTTTGGATTAATGAAAGACATTAAGTGACAATGCTTTGGCTGGATTTTAATTTCAGCTGTTCATAACTTGCATTTTTAATGACTGTTTTAGTGTGCACCATCATCTGAAGGATTTTATTGTCATTCTAATGCATGCGAAAAACATCACATTACAGCTACTTCCTTTTCAAAACATCACATATATGTTTCCCTTTCATGTGTCTGCACCACGGAGTGAGGGTTTGATAGACAAGGTATTAGCAAGGCTAATCATAATTTAATGAATGGAAACTCTGCCTTCAGTTCATCCTGACAGGGTTGGTAGTGGGGGTGGTTCTTTTGTTACTTCTTTTGTTGTTGTTGTTGAGGACATTCTTGTGGGTGAAACTAAATTGGTGCCAAATTACCTGAAATAATTTGTGGTTATTAAATAAACCAGTCTCTGATGTGGAAAGTGCATTGTTCCCTGGCATTCCAGAGGCTTCCCTTTTTTTGGTGGGTTGTTTTTTTTTTCTTTTTGGCTTTATTTTCCCCTCCCCCCACAAGATATTGTAGCAACTGATCTCTGACAATAATGCTTTGTGCATGCTGCCTCTTGGGTGGTGGAAGAAAAGAATAAGCCATATCACAAAACTGCACATATGATCTACAGCTGGCATGTCACATTRTAACCAAACAAAAGCAATCTCTTGACTCACAAAAGCTCTTTAAGGAGGCATCACTTGCAAGGTTAACTACAGTGCTTGACAAAAAAGACAAGGTGAAAATTATTACTGTATTGCCATGACACTGAATTAAGTAGAAGTACCCTGTTGGTTCAGCCTGGGTCTCCACTGGGTATTTATATTTACCTRATTTTTAGGACTAGACTTCTAATTTTTCYAAWAATTGCTATTTCTTGTTTTACTGTWACATGAACCCTTTGCARCTTCACTGTCWTTATATTCAGGTGTTTGACCAACTGGTTTTTGCAACRTAGGGAGARCTCATTTGTCCATATACATGTGTTTTTATAAAWGCAGAGCTGAACTGATAAATTAGACTAGGCTTTTCTCACAAAACCCACCTTTCTAGGTCTTTCAGTGTGCAAGGATTCTGTAACAGTAATTCTTCATCAGTTGTGTGTGACAGTTGCTTATGGCTCCCACTGCTTGGCCTTTCGAGGTTATTTAGCTATCAGATTTCTTATTCCCGAGTGTTTTACCACTTCCAGTGTATTCAGCTGCAGGAATTCTACACCCAGCACTTTACATTAGTGAGGGCAAACTGAGGTGTGTCTACATTGGCCAATCATCCTATATATCACGACTCACATCTCCCATTCGTGTTGGTGTGAGCCACAAGTAACTCAGCCAGTATCAAATGGCATGAAGTCAACGCAAAACTGATACAAGCAAGAGAAGAACCAAAAGCCCATGTCATGCTGTGGTGTTTCTGGGCCAGCTCCATYAGCATCAACTGTTTGAATTGGGTTTCCACTAGTGCAAAAGAGAATTTAGAAAAATGCTCTGCTCTAACTCATTTCACTGCTTGACAAAATGAACTGGAAAATCCCAGCTAGTCKGTCAGGGCTTTTTCACATTTCCCGTAGGAAGTATCCATTTTAACACAATCAATACCTTTCCTAGACACTTGTCAATCTGTTTGGCCAAACAACATTTACACAGTCAGCAAATTAAGAGGTAAAAGAAGCTAATCAGGACCTCTCCAGGTACTTTCTTTCCACAAACAACGTACAATGCTTAATTTCCTACCAGGAAATTATAGTGTATACTGAGATTTCAAGATCTGAYTAGTTTCAGAGGCTCAGGTTTTTTAAAAACCTGTAATTCAAAGTAAAGTTATAAACATTACAGCCACCCTAYGCCTGAAATCTGGAGAAACCTGGTTACTGCAGCCCCTTGGGGAAGAATGGGACCCTCTAGATTTTTGCAGATAAGGTATGAATAACATTCTCATAAAGCTCAAATATTGCCCAGATATACACATTTAAAATAATTATGGTAATTAAATAGAGTTGCAAGCAGCTATAGCTCCAGGCAACACCAGTTAAATGTAAAGAGAAAACATCTTCTGCATATGTTTGTGATTTATGTAATTACATGCTTCTACAAGCTACACACCATTCCCTGGCATACAGCCATCTCTCCTTTCATTACAGTTTAGCCACAGTAAGTAACATACTTCATCTGTTTGAAAAGCCCCACTTAATAATGCCACCGAGGATCTATACAACAACACTGGGGAGTSAATGTGAAAAAATTAAATRKCATTTGSCTCTGTGTGTGTGTGTGTTTGCATGTTAAAAATAGCTTTTCTGGGCCTGTTTCTGAYGTGCATCATGAATGACTCCATTTCAGACAACTAAATTACACCTTATGTCAGTGAGAAATGAGTAAAATCCAAGGTGTGTTTCGTGTATGAGACTATGTGTTTGCTCTTGACAATGACTGTTTTTCTCAATGTAGTAATTTTTGAAAATTAAACTGTACTGGACTATTCTGAGGCAASTCCTTACCAAATCCAGCAAGAGCTACCTGGACAAAAATGGATTCAAAACTCAAGAAGCCTTCCCAATGCACAAGCTTCCCTCAGCCAACAGAAGCACATGCAAAGGATTTCCCTCATATTTTGGAGACCCAGCCTCTGGAGTACCTTCAGACACTCACTAGAAACTTTTAGCCAAGCTTCAATTAACATTTTCAAGGCATTTAAAAGGAAAATGAGAAAGAAAAAAGGAAGATTTTTTTTCACATTTCATCAGACTTTTCAGGTTTTTTGCTACTCACTGTTTAACTAGAGCCTGTCACATTACCTGTCAAGTGCATGTTTATTCAGACWAAAAGGAATCTGACTCTTGTTCTTTTTAAACCAGTTTCACCAGATACAACTGATTTTGCAGTTCTCTATAAAGCTTGGTTACTAGAAATGAAAGGTTGTGCCTGAAAAATTKCATACAGTTTATTATAAATATTATATTCTGCTTTCACAGTTTCTTTTCTATTTAGGTGTACAATTGTGTCTTGAACAATTTCACATTTTAAGTCACATATAATCTTAAAGTTGCCATTATGGAAAATATTTCTAAGTATGCTTCCAATGAAATAGTGTCTAAGTACATAGTTAAAAGAAGCACTATATACATGATATTTACAGTATAAATAATCTAGACTACAGTGTAATACCTGAGAAATAGAAAATAGAAAATTCATTTCTGCTGAGCTTGAAAATACATGTCATAAATATTTGTCCTTTCCTCAGCTTTTCATTTCAATGCAAATATGCTGTTTCTCATAACATACTTTCTGGCTCTTCACTGCATCTGTAAAGGATTCCAGATTAAGATTTAAGATTTTTTTTTTTAATTTTTTTATTATTTCATCTTCTGCCCCCACCCAATTCTAAGTTTCTAAGGAAACTTAGAATTTAGGGCATTGAAAGGCAGGATTCCCTGCCTCTCCTTTCCCCTGAAAACTCTGTTCTGTTCTCACCACTCAACTGCAAAATATGTGTTAGTGTCAATCTGCATCTTCTGCTCATGCAGTAAAATATTATTCTTTTCTTAAAATCTCCATGTATTTTATTTAGAAAGCTGACACTTTTTTTTTAACTCTCTTCAACAGAGAATAACACGAAAAATTCCCCACACATTAATTCCCCTAATTTGTAGTCTTCAAATTAGGATAGTTGTGTTGTCTRTGATAGGAAGAACCAAACCTCAGTTCTTGCCCCAGATCACACTGCCCTGTGACCTTCATCTGAATCTTGTGCATTCTGGGACTGACAAGAATTTACKCATTGCCATGGGAAGAAAAATCAAAATAAAAACAAGCAAGGAAAATAATCCACAGAACATAACCTGTTACTTACAATTTCTGGCACAGTGTGAGGGCTCAGATGCATCAACAAAAGCAGCTCTTCCCTGTGACACTGCAAGACACTGCTCATGATGGACAGAAGACCCAGAAATCATGGCAATGCTATGGCAGAACGGTYATGTTACYTCTGCAAATTGTCACCTTAAAACCTGTGGGRGAAAAAAAAGAGAACTGAGGATGTGATTCCCAAAAACTAATATGAGAATTAGGAATTTATAAGATTTAGGTGTTTACACTCTTAGCTAAGAATAAGAACAAGGCTTTGTGCCACCTTTCTCTAGATCTGTCAGAGAAGAGAAAGTGGTGCAGAAACATGAAATTGTGACAGGCCAAAGCCTCCATGAGTACTCTGGGCACATTTAAACAAGCACAGCCACCTCTGTGTTCAACTTGAGGGGAAGAGTCTGGATGAGGAGACTGGAGCCTGCAAGCTGAAGTAACACTCAGAATTCCTTGAACGATTTCCAGCTTGCAGGCACTGGCCAGCAAAACCTCCCAAGCAACCTATTGTTTTCTTAGTGAAGACCACTCGCTTCTGGATTTTGGCTCCATGAGAGAATAAAGGTCTGGTAACCTTGAGGGCACACTGCCATGGTTTTGTCCTTGTTGTGGCAAGAAAAAAGGCAGTACTTTGTTTTTCCTTTTCTTTTTTACTTTGGTCTGCTATACTTTTTGACTGAACCTCTGGGGATCTGAGTAATAAGAGACGTTTTGTAAATTAAGAAAGTAGATAAATAGAGGCTTTTCAAAAGGCATTTCCCCATCATTCTTTCTAAAGGAAAGCAGGTGTTTGGCTCAAAGGGACTTGTTCTSTTGATAGCACAGTAAGAGAGTGAAACTGCATTGTCCCCTAAGGCAAAAATAAATAACTTCAGAAAACATGAGAACCGAGCCCTTGGTGAGGAGGTGAAATGGCTGTCCACCTTCTTGAACTAATTTATAACACCGAAGATGTCAAGTGACATGCTGAATGAAGAAATGATTTGTGGCTGAGAAAAGTTTTGCAGAGATCCCAGAGCAAAGTTGGCCAAAGGCAACTTCATCTTGATAGAAGTGTTCGATCACTAAACTAAAGAGAACTGCTCAGGCTCTCATCTGGRAAAAGGAGGAGAGTTGCATTTTCAAACTGTGGACCCAGTTATCCATAGCCTTTGCCAGAGCCAGGWTGAAAGCATGCCAAACATTCAGCCTATTCACTGTGTGCCCTTTGGAAGGACATATGAATCTTAAGGAAAGGTTTCAATACTTTAAATACATCACAAACAAAATCATATCAGCAGTCCAACTTTAGAGAGCCAGCAACAAACGGGTATCTGACTCTTCAGGCACTTGGCACAAAGTGGAATTCTACACAGAGATGGTTTAAAACTTGTGCTTAAAACTTGTTCTTAAAACTAAGAACCCTGATTTGCATGATCAGAGCTCATAATTCTCACGGCAGTGTCAAGGCCATAGCCACTTTATGCAATTTAAATCAAGCATGCCAGCTTACACATTCCAGCCCAGACCTGTGGCTGCTACTCGCAGTGAGATTGCCACATTTGGGGCCAGATCCACAGAGCTCACAATTAGGTAGCTGTCCTGCTTTATGTCAGCAGAGGATCAGCCTGTTGGGCCAAGGCTGGGCGATGCTTTGTGTCACCCACATACCCTCCTGCAATTAGGAGAGCAAAGAGATATTGCAACACATCACCGAAACACGTCCTGCAACCCAGGCGTGGGCAAAAGATGTCAGCAGCGATATCAAATTGGCAGCTGTGTGATGTGATGATTCCTTATCTATTGCAAAAAAAAAAAAATAAAAATTAACAAGTTAATATTCTAAAATTAAGGATCTAACCATTCCAGTTTACTGGGCTATAATTCAGCCTAGGGTAACATGTTGCACACCAGAAGAATTTAGCCTTTGACCTGATTAGATGCCAGAATCATCCAGTTCCATTCTACGTGTGAAACTTCACACAGCTCTAATTATTGAAGCCCCGAAGAAAAAAGGCCAGAGGTGCTACGGAGCTGGTAGGTATTAAAAAAAGTCAGAGGGAGCTGCTCCTCATGTTACTCTCTGCCTCCTGAGAGACAATGGTTCAGAAACCATATAGACTTTCATGGGAAGACTTTCTAAAGGTGAAATGGTGAGATTTGATGTCTAAATCCTATCTGTGACTATGAAAATCCCTCCTTTGTCTAGAGTTAACAGAACACTTGAGAACTTAATGCAACATAGATTTTAATTATGATATTTGGGAAATTACTCACAAAGATCTTGTTATTACTATTGAGAGCAGCTCATTTTCTAATGATGTTGGACAATTGCACACAAGAAAACATAATTAATATGTACAGAAATGAAAGAAAAGCTCAGAGTTAAATGTACTCAAGACAAGAAACACCATACAAAAAAACCCTGAACTTTTCATACCACTGTATTGGAACCACACAACTAGAGAATYATATTTCAGAGTGGGAAATGAGTGGTCTGAGCAATTACAGGTGCCATCATGGRCTGTTACTGAATAACGTACTAGAACCTAGAAAAAACAGTAAAGTTAAAGACCCCTCAAAATAAAAGGAAAATGGAATAAAACACACCTGAGGTTTGTCAAAAGTATGCCAAAAATGTGCTACACACTGCTATATGAAAAAGGAAATTATCTGGTTTTCAGAAAATCAGTAGGTACTCTTTCGAGGGAAAAGAATAATAGTGAAAAGGTGAATATTAGTTCCAGCATTTCAGCAGGTACAACAAAATAAATAAAAACTGATCACAATGAAAAAACTCCAAAACAAAGCACAAACCTGAATGACTGGAAGGTTATTAGATGTGCACCTAAAAAACATTAGTCTGAAATAGGATGTACTTAATAYTTTCATTAATGACTTTGGAAACAATCAATGCAGATGCTCCATTGAAAGCTATGATTCACATGAAGCTGAGATGCTCTGCCCGTGCTGAGGAAAGCAAGAGTATTGCACAGGAATGATCTTGAGAGGATTAAGCTGCTTGGACAGAAATGTACCAGCAAGGAAAAACAGAATTTCCCTTCCAAGCTCAGACACTGATTTACGCAACAAAGGAGGAAAATGAGCGTGGTGTTTTATTTGATCACAGTCAGCACTTAAAAAAAAGCAAATGCTGCCTCACAAGGCTTCAGGCAAAGTAGAAAAGTGAATTACTGAAACTATTGCACCATGCCCTAGTACTAATGCACCTGAGGCCATGCATATAAATGCTCATCACTGACATTTAAGAAAAGTAAAAGACTGGAAAACATAAAAAGAAGGTCTATTCAGATGATAAGAGGAATAGGTAGCCTCTCTTATCAGAGAAAAATAAGACAACTTGGCTTATKAACTTCACAAAATGAAGGCCAAGATTGCATGTGTTCAAAGGGCAGCAAAGAGTTCCTCACAGCCATCAGTGCGATTGAAAAGCAGGAGAATGTTTGAAGCTGTCACAGCAGTGGGATTCTGGCACAACATTCTAGAGGGGACATTAGATTTATAAACAGAATTACAGTGATGCAGTTGTCTGCCACATAAGCAAGGGAGTCGAGTCACTGAGCCCAAAGTCCTGCTTTTRTCAGAGTTTTGTGATAATCAGAGGCTCAAACCACACACACTGCTGTGGTGTGCAGCGGTGGCTCTGGCTCTGAGCATCCTGGCGGTCCCCAACMCGCCGGGACCCTGCTGCACAGGGCCATAAACACAGCAGATCCCTGCTGTAACTCAATACTCATCAGCCCAGAGTCTGCTKCCAGCCCCAAACCACATTTGCTGATGTAAATCAAATACATAAGTTGTCACGGATTTTGGATGCATTAAGAAGACTTGCGCAAAACTGCATCCTTCAAGGATTTTGTTATAATTTTTTCTTGCTTGCTTTCCTTCTCTATCATTTTAGCCAGACCTTTTAATTCCACTTTTTAATCGCAGTATCAGTTGCACCAATTTTTCTTTCTTTTGATTTTATGATGGAGGCGATTGTTTTCCTCTGTCACAAGATACTGGAAATAATAAAGGAATACTAGGAATTAATCTACATATTGAGGAGAATGATGTTGCAATTATATTATTTTAAAAGTATTTGTCTTACTGAACTGTTATTTCATGGCCTACTTGGAGCAAATCCATGAATTCTAGCTTATTTTCCCTGTCTACACTAACAGGAATACAAACTTACTGAAGAAAATAAGAGATACAAAATGAGATGCCATGACCTTCATTAAAAACAGAGCAGCCTGAATATTTTTGTTCCCTTTTCCAGGACCCAAAAAGCCCTGATGAAAAGAGCTGATGCATTGTGTTGCCTGAGCTTTTCATAGAACTTCCTTGTGGGGATCAATGAGGGAAAGAAATGTTCAGGGTTGGCTTGATTCAAAGTACGAACCAGAGGTCCTGCTAAACCAGAGGCACAAACCTTGATCCAGTTATTTGCTTTAGCCATTGGTTCCATATGATCCCACGGAATTAGCACGATGCAAAGCTCAAGGGCTTTAGCTTAGTTATGTTTCCAAGACTGCCTCAGCCTTTGAAATGTCGCTGTTTTATTCAAAGAGAGGATTAAGAAAAAGTTACTATTCTTCATACTGTTTCAAATACACTGGAAAGCTGCTTCAAAGCATCAAAACCCTGCCTGAAGCCCCCTGGCTCTGTTTTATATCCCACAGAACTGTCCTGAGGTGCTTGGTAAATACCTCCAYTTTCTATGATAATGAATGAGCAATGGAATGAGATGCTCACAGGGATATTGTTTTTTATCTGTGAGTGTGGCATCATTGCTTCCACAAGTTAAACAGTTTTGAAGGGAAGTGGATTTCATTTAATGTCCTAGGAATGACAAGGAAAGTTAGAAAGCAATCAACAGAGATGGGAGATTATTTGGAGGATATTTTAAAATTAGCTTTCTGATAATTATCTTATGACCCCAGGTTAAACATTGGTTTCCCATAACACATCTGGGTTATTTGATTTCACAAGTCAACATAAACATCATAAACACTGCATGGGTCTTATGTTGATCTGGTAACTCGCTGCCTACATCTTCGGACTGAAGTGAAAGAGCACATGGGGTAAAACAAAGCAAAGCTGAATTACCAACAGTGAATAAGTCAAGGTACATTTTCAGCATTTATACTTCTTATAAATGTGT